TGCTCACGTGAATGCCACAATGATTATTGCAAATCCATAAAATCTGAGTCAAAAAGGACTGCTCAGGTCATTAATGTGTGGTCAGCAAGGCACGATCTCCGTGACTCATGAAGAGCAGCTGCTTTTTGGTGGGGTCGTCTTTGCAATGCCGGATATAAAGAGGCCTCCCAGGAAGCCACATCTATTTTTTGTTAAAGTCCCTTTAATAATAAGACTATATCGCAGTACAGATTTGGAAAAGACGGAATTTCCCCCAACAGCTCAGTGATAATGGTTCAGATAAAGTTCATCCAACTGTTCGTCGTACTTGTTTACCCAAATAACCAGGGAATGAATAAGTTGCAAAAGCATTTAAGGTATTTGATGAACTTTCCAATGATTTACAGGGTTAAACTACAGCAAAGTTTGCTATGCCAGAGATCACATCATTGTAAAATGCATTGTTGTTGTTTTGAGACAGCGTCTCGCTCTGTCACCCAGGCTTGAGTGCAGTGGCATGATCTGGGCTCACTGCAGCCTCAATCTCCTGGGCTTAAGCAATTTTCCCGAGTAGCTGGGACCACAGGCATGCACCACTACACCCGGCTGATTTTTACATTTTTTGTAGAGACCAGTTTTTGCCATGTTCCCCAGGCTGGTCTCAAGCTCCTGAACTCAAGCAATCCTCCAGTTTCCATCTCCCAAAGTGTTGGGATTACAGGCATGAGCCACTGCACCCAGCCTGTACAATGCCTTCAATGCTTTGATCTCTTCTTTACCACTAATACTCAAGAGCTGACTTTTATGTAGTACTTTATTACATAATAGTGCCAGCACTGTTCTAAGACTTTTATACATATTAACTTTTAATCCTCAGAACAACCATACACATTAGAAACTATTGCCATCCCCATTTTCTTTTTTCTTTTCTTTTTTTGCTGGAGTCTTGCTCTGTCACCCAGGCTGAAGTGCAGTGGCATGATCTTGGCTCACTACAACCTCCACCTCCCAGGTTCAAGCGATTCTCCTGCCTCAGCCTTCCAAGTAGCTGGGATTACAGGGACTGTGCCCAGCTTTTTGTATTTGTGTGAGCCACCGCACCTGGCTGACCATCCCTATTTTCAAAAAGGAAACCGAGTCAAGGAGAGGTAGGATAACTTGCCTAAACTTGTGCATACTGTAGCCAGCACTTGAACCTACGTGGCTTAACTCTAAAGTAGCAGTTCTTAGCCCTGGCTGCATTGGAATCTCTTGGGGGAGCTCTAAAAAAAAACTCACTGAAGCCTGAGTCTTACCACCACACCTTCTGATTTAACTGATGGCTTCAGGATTGTCATCGCTGCCCCGCTGCTTCTAATGTACAGTCAAGGTTGAGCACCGCTGCCCTCACGTGTGGACACTGAACTCCTCTGCCAGCTCTCAAAGTCAGATCCCTAGACCGGCAGCATCTGCATCACCTGAGAACTTTGAAACACAAGTTCTCATGTCCCACCCCACTCCTACTGACTCCGATTTTCTGGGGGTGGGGCCCAGCAGCTGTGTGTCAACAGGCCCTCCGGATAATTATGATGCAGGCTAAAGGCTGGAGAACCGCTGTACTGTGCCCCAGTGAGTGACATCTTCCCGGGTCCCTACCCCCTTGAAAACATTGTCGTGCTTCTCATTGAATGAGGGAGTCAAACGCCTTTCTCTTGAATCTAGGCGAGCCTCATGACTGGCTTTGACAGATAGACGGTAACTGAAGTGCTGTGTTGTGCAACTTCCAGAAGGCTTGAAATTTTTGTTTTTGTCCCCTGGATTGTATCTGCCACAATTTAAGGAAGCTGATGTGGTTTACTGGAGGATGAGAAGCCACATGGAGGAGAATTGTAGTGCCCCAGCCAGCAGCCAGCACCACCTGCCAGACATGCGAGGCCAGCTTGGACATTCCACCCCAGCCCGGTCACCAGCTGAACACAGCTACATGATCGAGCCTAGGTGAGACCAGTAGAGGAACCAACTAGCTAATCCACATCATGAAAAACAATCAACTGCTGGTTTTAAGTCACTAAGTATTAGAGTGGTTTGTTATTCAGCAGAAGGGACTAGATTGCAGCTGTGCAATTTACCCTTAAACCTTGCCCTAGAGGGAAACTGGTTAGCCTTTGAAAGAAAACGATGCGGCCGGGCACAGTGGCTCACGCCTGTAATCCCAGCACTTTGGGAGGCCAAGGCAGGTGAATCACCTGAGGAGTTCGAGACCAGACTGGCCAACATGGTGAAACCCCATCTCTACTAAATACAAAAAATTAGCCGGGCGTGGTGGCGCATGCCTGTAATCCAGGCTACTTGGGAGGCTGAGGCAGAAGAATCACTTAAACCCAGGAGGCGGAGGTTGCAGTGAGCCAAGATGGCGCCATTGCACTCCAGCCTGGACAACAAGAGTGAAAACTCCGTCTTCAAAAAAAAAAAAAAAAAAATTTAAAAAAAAACCTAAAAATAGAGCTAAAATATGATCCAAGTGCCATATATTCCCACTCCTAGGTA